TGGATCCCTATATTCAATAAAATATTGATAGCTTTTTTTCTGCTTTCAAAAGGCAATAACAAAATGGTGACACAAAAGAATTCCCCAGTTCCAACATGTTCCGTGCTTAAAATGTATTATTAAAAACCACAGAAACCAAATGACCGCATGACATTTTAGTTCAAGAAGGATGTCCACAAGTGTTTAATAAAAAGGTAAGATTACAGAATTTGGCTCACAGTCATGGGACAAAATTCAAATCAATATTACATGATCTAATGGAAACCAAAATCACTATCATTAAGAGAAATAGCCTCCTTTAAAATGTGAAAATAGTTTCTGGAATACTAGACAAGGCAAGAAACCACTACACATTGCTAATATCAGCTTTTTGGATTACAGATTTTGTCTGTTGCCTGGAAAGCTAATCTTTTAATGGAAGCTTTGTTTTCATTTTTACAATGGAAAACTTGTTAAAGAAATTAAGTTTTTATTAGCGTTTAGAAGTGAAGGTTATATTTATAAGCTTGAATTATTTTTAATATTTCTTCTAATGTATTATTTCCTTATTGTTTATGTACTTCAAATAGCATAAGTAAAACCTTACAGTCTTGCAATGTGTGTCTCTCTCTTAAGTTTGGTAGGCAAGCACCGATCCCAATTTATCTCTACCTTTCTATCTCTGCAAAGTTTTAGTCTGATCTGAATGAAGCTATTTGGGATAGAAATCACAATGGTCTTTATGTTTCCGGCTTACAAGACAAAAAGATCTAATACATTTTCTCTCCCCCAAAACACCCTTGAAGTCTCCTGATACTTTGAATATTGCTCGCTCCTTCAGATATATTCTTGTGCACTGCCTTTGGAAAAGTTTCTCCTGGTAGGAGAGATCCAGCTAGGACCATGGTTGTCATACCCCCCTCTGTTCCTCCAAAAGATGTCCTTGGTTTGCTGATGTCATCAGTCTTCTAGAACTTGATATAACCTGTGATTTATAACCTGTGAACTGCTTGTCTGAAATTTGTGCCAGTGTTTAAAAATAAAGCCATATGCTCCCCATCATTATTTAGATGGATGCAAGCAGTATAAGGAAGAGAAGATTGTAAATCTATGGAAAGGCACATGATACCTCTATAAATCAGTGACAGTCTGTGGCAGACTCCCAAAACTGTTACTTCCTGGTACCTTCTCTGTAGTAATTTGTTACCTTTAATATTGGAAATGTGGATACCAGGATACTTGTGGCTGATTCAGAATACCAAATGTATTCAGTGGACAAATTCCAGCAGCAATAAGATTCATGCGGTGCTTTAGAACACCATTAATTAAATCTCACAGCATCTCAGGGAAGTAGGAGGCAATATCTTCAGTTAGCACATGGGAAACCTCCAGAAAAAGGTCAGTGGCACTCCACTGCAAAAGTCAACAAACAGTATTTGTGTTTAAGCTTTTCTATTGGTGTCAAGTTGCTAGACTTGCCACCTTTTTAAAAAGACAGCCTTTGCTTGTCTACCTCTTCATTTGCTTCTAAACATTTCTTCTGTACAGGCTCTAAAACCTGTGATGAAAGGACTACATAGTACCAGCTATATGCCCCAACATAAAGTCAAATTCAGTTTTGCAGGTGTATACCTAGTAACTTTCCTGATATTAATACAATTAAAGCAACTCACCAAGGTATAAATAAGAGCTATGTGCAGGCCAGTTTATTAACATAAAATGTCAGAAGTGGACACTGGCCATTGAGATACATTTTTTTCAAATTCTTTGTGCTTCATAGTTTGCAAAGGACACAAATGCCAATTCACACTGATATAGTTTTTTACCCAAAGCAAAGGCAGTCTTTTCAAGGACAATGGCTTCAATTCTCTTCTCAGTGTATAAAGGCATAACCAGACATTTCTTATTAAGAGGAAAAGGAATTATGCAGACTGAATATCCTATGCACCAACATTAAAATTTCTAACTGATGAGAAGAATGATGGGTGTGCTTCTATTTGTAACACAAAATGATCAGAACAAAAGTCAAAGCTGTAATGCATTCACTTACTTAAAAATGTGTATTGTTATACAAGGCAATTAAAGAGTTTCAGACTATTCTCTATGTGATCTGCCTTTCAGATGAGACCTAAAATTGAAGCATTTGATTATGAAAGCTCAAGTGGCAGTTATCATTAGAGGTGTTAACCTCACATGTGCTCCAAATTCTAAATGAGTTGATCATATTCTCTCTTCCTAAATTCTCCATGGCTTTTATATGATAAGATATTCTTCTTTTCCATTCCTAAAAATTGTTGCAAGAGTATTACTCACACCATATGGCTACCTTGCATATCCATTTTGCTAGCGAATGAAGTGAGTAACCTTTCTATGTAGCCTATAAATTCTTTTAAGGAAATACGCCATTTGATATGCATAATATGTTCTTCCCATCTACCTTGACAGAGAAGTCATTAAATAAGAAATAACTTTTATCTATGCATTGATAGGAATAAAGCCCTAACTTTTGACTGGGAGGAGATTCCAGCAGTTTCACTGCTAGTACTACTAGTACTACTAGTACTACTACTACAACCACCACTACTATTATTATTATTAATTATTATTATTATATTTTTATTTTAGAGAATAATTAAAAATATGAATACGGTTATCTGAATCAAATCAGATATCAATGTACAGTTGCTAGGATCTGAATATAGACACCTAAAAGCTTAATCAAAAATTTTAAAATATTTTTTCCAGGCAGTCTCTTATTGAGGAAAGGTTCCCCTTCAGGTGCACCAAAAAATCACCACACTCCCTTCAGGTTTCACAAAATTCAGCTGCATTGACTCTCAGAAATTTGACAATTTGTGCGCTCTCGGTACTCTTGGTAATTTAAGAATTTTGTGATGGTGTAGTAATCATGTACCAATATTGCTTTCCAACTTTCTATTAATCATTATACGTACTCACCAAAACTGCACAGCAGCTGAGGTGGGACCTGGTTTTGCATATTTGTACTGTATCTAGCATATTGAAGCAAAATAAATATTTGTAAGATAGGGAAAAGGGTAAAATAATAACAGAAACAATCTTTTTGGCTTCATTAGCTAATATTAGCTTCAAAGATTTCAAGAAGTAACAAATAATCAACACATCTGTAAAACACAGGTTTTAATTTGCTTATGATTTAAAAATCAACATAGTTTTAGTTACTGTATATTGTTTGATGCATGTAAACATAATCATTGATTTGATTATCATTAGTGGCAGAAAGAGAAGTGTCTCTGTCCTGTTACAAATGTACAGAATTTAGTGGTGACTAGTGGCATTTATAAAACTGCTGTTTTGTCAGATCCCATGTTAGTTTTTTCTTTTAAATCACAACAGTGTTTTTATCCATAAAGTTCACTTGGAATAGCTTTGCTACTGAAAACCTGACTGTGAGAAAAAGCACACAGTAAGACAAAAAGAAGAAAGAAATAGAATTTTAATAAACATTTATTCCCAGGAGAACATGTATGTACTGTAAATATACCACAGTGGTATCAAAGCAACATTTCTTTTGAACTGAAGAATGCAAATTAAGTTTACCTTAGTTCCATATAATTTGCTGCTTTTAATCCTAATAATATATTATTTTCAAAGGAAAGCTAGATGTACTCTACCCTTGTTTTCTACCTGAAAACTGGGTCTTACTAACAATTCCAAACTTCCTAGCTGTCAACATTTTTGCAAGGTCTGAAATGCACTTTCAAGTTTATTATAAAGTTAACCTGAAAAAATAATCTTCTCTGAATAGAGTTAACTTTTGATCATTTGTGATTGATGATATTTTTCAACAGCCTCTGCCATGCTCTGCCCTCCAATAATACATACAAGGAGCTGTATTTGTAGTCCAGTGGAGATGTATTTGAGTATCTTAGTGCCAAACTTGGCTACTAGTTCAACATGTTTAAATGTTCTCAGTGTGCAACTTCAGTGATATTCAGGTGCTGTGGTGACAGCAGTATTTAAAAACTCATTCAGGTGCTCCTTCTGGTGTCAGTCAGATCATTTTAATTACTGCTGGCTGGAGCAGGGTCAAGCCCATGTTACATACAGAAACAAATTCCTCCCCAAGAGTCAGCTTGTCTGCCTAGTTTATATTTGTTATCACCTTGGTACTTTCCTTTATAGGTGCTTAACTGTTACTTTCCTCCACAGGTCCATCAATTTTCAGTTTCATCATTTTGCATTACAAGGGATAATCATCACTTGTGGGTCCCTCTAAATTATTTAAATGATTGTGGGTTTTTTTTTTTTTTTAGTTCTTTCTAATAGTTATATAAGATGCTTATACTGTAGAAAAATTGAGTTTGAAGTTGATAATTTTTCAACTTTTTACACTAGGAAAAATTTAAGATTACTCTTGACTCTGCTTTGTGAATATGGGAAAAATGTGGTCTATCAAGAGGGGTCTCTTGAAAGCTAATTTATGTGTATTTTCAGAGAGGAAGAGCTATGGTCCATCAGTGGAAGATGTGAAGCCCATGGACGAGTTGAGTAGTTAGTAAAAGACCATTAAATATGAGGATTCAGGGAAAATTACTCTGAGCATTCATGTGTATCTATTAAATCATAAGACCAGCTCTTGGATCCCAGTTCAAGGATGAAGAGAATGACTTCCTTCTTTTCAGAGCTGTCATAAGTTCTCATAGCTTGTTTTTGCTGATGGAATAGGTCCCCTGGGGTTTTGCATTTTCACAGAAGATATACTTGTGTAAGCCCCAACACCTTTTGTGCACCCCTACATACATAATTTGTATGTAGTGATGTTCACACAATTTTGCAGCAGACAGAATGCCAGTAACTGTTAAGAAATACCTAGTCAAGTTGTTGACTATTATTTACTCCATTCCCTTTATAACACTGTATATTTTAAAAATGTTAGTCTGGAGTTTATCTCACCTCATTTTACCATTCTAAAAGTTAACTTAGCTAATTGCCCATGCTCCCTCTATTGTCAGTGGAGAAAAAAATAGATATCTTCTGATCATAGTCCATCAGCTGTCTCCAACTGCTATTTTGGCATGGAGTGATTCATCCTCTTGAAATGCTTCCTACTTTTCACTGACTGTAGAAGAAGACTAGGTGCTTAACTCTTAGATGGTCAAGATGGATAATGACAGAAGAGATAAATCTAGTCTATTATTTTCCATGGCTGGTAGTCTAGAAGAAATATGCTTTAAATCAAGCTTAGCCTCAGCTCTTCCTCTCAGGTAAATTCCTGAGACATTTATATAGCAGGTAAACAGGCAGTAGGAATCAAGAGCTTTGGATTTTTTATGGAAGTTGTAAGTGGATAAAACTTTTCTGGCATTACTTTAGAAAGATTACCCCCTAGACAATCTCTCATACTACTGTCAACAGAGAAAACAAGTTAAAAGCTTGAGTTAAATGGTTTGTATATAACACATTGTCCTCTTGAATAACAGAGCTTGAATCCATTTGAATCAACAATACTGTCTGTCATAAGAAACTACAGATTTCAATATCAAAACCTCTTGAATAGAAGCCATTACTCTTTTTTTAAATAAAAAGTATCTCATTTCTGCTCTTAGCAGCAGAAGTCCTACTGTTAACTTTGCATTTACTTAACATGCCCTTTCTGTGGATAGTTTTTTGCAACAGTCTACTTCAGTAGCTGTGGCTAAGCAGCATCTCTTACTAGATGATTCAGTAAGACTAGAGGGGAGAGAACCCTAGACATTGCATATAGTTCCAGTTCTGTCGCATGTGCAAACTTCCTTTAGGTGTCACTTCAGGACATGACACCTTGTGGTACTGTAGTTGAGATATTTTGCTCTCATATGGCTTATTTTACATGTAGGAATTCAACAGGGAACAGACTGGGAGGAGAAAAAGAAAAAAAGGAGTTCCTGTCAATTCCAGTAAATGCAAAAGAAATATTGCTGTTAAATCAGAAGTAACTGCTGCTAAAGCGAGACTGCAACTATTTGCCTTTGTCTCCCTATGTGTTTTGGTCTACAGCCGTTAATAGCTTCGACTCCATGAAGCAGTAGCAAAGGGGAGTGTGTCAGAGCAGCAGGCCAAAATTAAATTACAGCAACCTTGCGCTTCACATTAAAATCTCCACTAAGCAATGGAGGCTTGTAATCATCCGGATTTTCCTTAAAGACAATGGCCCTCCATGCAACTGGCTACACTCAGTTAATTCATGCTGTCAGCTTCCTTTATTGACTGTGGGGAATGCAGTATTGATTCTTGAACTCAAAAGCAGCACAAAGAGCCACTAGTGCATGGTCAAAATGCAGCAATAAAGAGCTGGCAGCTTGAGAAAGGCAGCCATTCCGTTGCACAAACAAGGTCAATTAGAGGACAGTGCAGCATAATATACATAGCATTAGCAGTCCTCTTGAACCATGATGAGACCATGCTGGGAAGATGACAATAAATAAAATAGGTTTTAATGCAGAGTAAACACAAAAGCATTTAATGTAATTTAATTTAAAACATTGCATCCCTTTAAAAGTATCATCAATTAAAGAATACTTATCTTCAAAGACTATTCTTTTCAGGTAAATCCCTCTATAAACTAATTATGTACATATGTAGAATTGAAAGGGAATGTATTGTATAATAAATGGTTAATTCTTAAATTACAGCCATGTGATATTATGTCTGTCTGTGTAATCTCTTACTTTTTATTAATACAAATCTTTCAGTGTCATTTGAGTGTAATAATAGGACAAAAGCATAGCTGCATTTTTAGTTCGGAAGTTTAAAAAAGCTTACATAAGGTCCTTATGTCCTTACTTAAGGTCTTGAAATTATTATCTCTTTTATATGAGAGAATTCTTCTTACTATTATGCCAGCTCAGAATTAATTACAAATGTAATATACATCATTCTGCTAACACATAAAATATGCTAAGGGAATTAGGCTCTTAAAATAGCTAATGGGCCTCGGATAGGCAGCTGATAAACCTACATCATACAAAGAAGTTGAAAAAGTTTCAAAACTACTTAATTGTTTAGACAGCAATAGAAGCATTTGTTTCAAAGCCGTGTTAAATAATGAATGCACTAAAAGCAAACAGAGGAGTTATGTTTACAGCTCTGATTTATCTGTACAGTCTTACAAATTTTTTGGAGAGTACAAGAACCTTTCCTCACTTTCTTGATCATTTTGAAGTATTCCCATCAACTTTGAGTGTACTTAACATCGGTTAAAACTAGGAGTAATTGGATTTAGACCTGTGATGAAGGTTGAGTATGAAGTTGTCATCATCATCTGTGTCAAATCTCACCTAATATGTAGAACTATATCTTGTACTTACACAATGCAATAACTGTATATTCTACATGTAGCATGTTTAAAATCTTTGAGGAGGGCTAGAAATAGCAAGGTTTTACTTGCAAAACAAATGAGTCTTCCAAACTGTTTTGCAATAAGTTCCTTCCTACGTTATCAATGGAATCAGTAAGAGCTCTTTCCCTCTGAGAGTAAAAGAAATTCCCTCTGGACTGACTGGCAATATGGGAACTTTTTTAATTTATTTAGTAGAATAATGAGTAGAATGTTGCTTGTATTTCATTCTCGAGCTGAGACATTACAGAGTAAAAATCATTATTAGGTAAATAAATGCATCCAGCAAACTGTGCCTGATTAGCTCTTAGCTCTCTTCTCCTTAGCTAAGGATAAGCATATTTTTGTTTCTCCTTAGTCCCTTTTCTCTTCAAGGAATTGGACTTGTTTGACATTCACTCCTTTTCTGCAAGACAAGTTGGACTAATAATGTAATTAAAATCATTGTTTTTAATAAGAGTTTTTGAAGAGTGACTGTTTGGAAAATTTTTTGAATCTGTTAGAAGTCAACTTTAAGTGAAATCTGAGTGCTCTGGAGGAAAATCAGATAATCTACCTGTATATCTCCCAAGCTAAAGTAAAATAATAGTTGTAACAAGATTTGTAGGAAGTGGTAGCATTTTTAGTTTGGTTTTTCATTATACATACTTTTTATTGATTTCTTCTTGTATTACTCAAGACTTATAGAGACCAAATAAATTTTGCTTGGGGCACTTCAGTAATTTTGTAAAGATATTTCTCCTTTGTTTCTTGACTTTGAAACTGCAAAATATTTTATCCCAAGAGCAGAGGGAAGCAGAGTGCTTCTATGAGTTCCTCGGTATTTAGGAAAAGCATGTAGGACAGTGTGTCTTGCTTCCTCATACATGGCCGTCATGTCTTAGTGACAGCAAAATATTTCTTTCTTCCTTTCTTCATTTCTATTTTGCTCATAATTTTTATCCCAATGTCCCATAAAGATCTACAAGTATATCATGGATCATAATTACCTCTGAAACATGCACTAGGTGACTTCTGACTTTGAGTGAGTTGCTGCTGGAGGTTTACTTTTAACTCGTATAGGGATGTAGCTGCGTTAAGAAGTCACTAGTGTTCAGATATCTCGATTCACAAAAATTACACTAATGATGATATTAATGTTTTCAAACACTTCCTTTTCTTCCCAACACCACTAAATGGCAATTCCCTTCAGAAATGAACTTCCTACCTTCATCTTGTTTTGGTCACATGAGGGATATCTTCTGAAAAGCAGCAGGTGTTCCACTGTTGATTCTGTATTAACTCCTTGCTAGCTTATTCTGGAGGGAGATAGGTACTTTTTTTACTTTTATTTTCAAAATAGGCCTCAGTCTTATGTCTTTGGATTCAAAAAAGTTTGTGTTCTCTAAATAGGCTGGGTAGGAGTAGAGAGAGAAATGCAGAGAGATTGAAAGTGGAGACTTACCACAACAAATTTTGCACCTCCCAGCAGATATATGTAAAGGAGAGGAAGATGCTAAATAGTCCAACTAAGAGCTAGGAGATGACTTGGAGAAAGGCAAGTTTTACAGTAATGTGTTCCTCAGAAATTCAGAAAACTGCAGGTTTTAACTGCAGCTCAGACTAGGAAAGTCTTTTTCCAGGTTCCTAAAGGGACGCATATGATTTGACAACATACTCCAGAGGAAATAGAGATAGGAATATAGACATAGGAAAATAGAATGAATATGAAAAGGATAGATCTGTTCTCATTTGTCATTCCTCAAAATTTCTAGAGAAGAAGTGTGGTTCTAGGTCCAGATCTTCCTACGGCTTCACTGTGAGGGGATCAAGAAGCAAGAATTTAAACAGTTCTTATTCTACTGGGCCATGCAAGAGAATTAAAAGACCAGGCAGGCCTTTTTCCCCAAATCTGTAAAGGAGGTAAAAATGGGAAGCAGAATTTGCAAAACATTGGTTCTAGATCTTACAGAAAGTGTCCAGGCTTTGAAATATGTACAACTGTACATGCACAACAACCGGGGATGGACTTGATTGCTTATATTTTTTGTGAAACCTAAGAATGTCATGGTTGAGACTGCAAGGGGTTTAAATGTTGGGAGTCAAGAAGATAGCAAGCCCAACCCACATAAATATGTATTTAGGAATGCAGGGATATTTCAACTCCAAAGAAAATCATCATAGAATATAAATGTTTATAAACATGTGTAAAACAAGGGGATTTCAAGAAAATATTTTATCATGAGCCAACAAGACGTGCAAGATGCACAAATGGGAGAGCTTTATGTTTGCCTTAAAAATCTTATTTGTGGATTTTGTGCTTTCAAGAAGAGGGAAATATTTTACACTTTATAAATGAAAGTCCTAGTAGCCTATTCACCCTTAAGGAGCAGAAGAATAGAGGATTCTGAACTTAGGGGTACACAATCTGTTTGTTATATTACGTGAAGCATGGACAGAGAACACTTTAGTGTCTCCTGTAAATGAGTTTAAAGGGTCCATGTTCTTCTCTACTTAAATACATTTGGCATCTATTTTTTGCTCAAGTGTCCTGTTTAGCTCCCCAGTGGTACTCTTGTAAAATATCTCTTAATGGCTCTTTTATTCCTGTGGGTTCTTCATAAAATCTTTTTACCTCAAAAGCCTTTATATTTTTTGTTTGTTTGTTTTTAGCTTCTGGTATGGAAACAACCAGATATAAAAAAAATCTGCAGTACGTAAAACCATTTCATTAATGATAGAAATAAATCTAGTGAGAAAATATGCCTATAAGATGACGAACAAAGACATATCTTTTTAATTTGCATACCGGTTTTTTTTGAAACTTATAATACAATTAACTCAATAATACGAAAAGAAAAATCTCGTGAAATATGTTGGTTCTTCAAAAATCAATGAAAAGAGGAAAAGATTTGTGGCTTTTTAAAATGTTTGTTCTGAACTGATGGTACAAACGGAATAAGAATGACAGCTCATTCCAAGTGACCAATCTTGGTACTCTCTTGTGTTTAAATGATGTGTTCTGAAAATATAAGTCTTATAAGCCTTACCAACTCTCAATATCCCCTCAGGGTCCTCTAAATCGCTTCTCTTTTCCTCCTTTCCCTGCCAAGAGCAATGGCTTCAATTCTAGCCTATCTAGAAATATAAAAACAAGAAAAGTGTTTTAGGAAAGAAAAATTAAAAAACACCACAATATTCTAATTTCCGCAAATACCTCATAGAATAATCAATATTTTAAATACCAGACTAGTAGGTACAGAGATATCTTTGGATACATAACATTTTTCCACCGCTTCAGAAGAAAATTTGAAGACCAATTTCCCTGACATCTTTTCAAATGCTGAAAGTCCCAAAATTCTTTTCAAATTGCATTGTTGTTCTTTAGAAGAAAATTCTAAATATTTAAAACCATGATATCTTGAAATCTCGATGTAGTCAAGTCAATACTTTTCCATGGTTTACATTTCCTAGCAGGTACTGCACTCCACTCAGCATAGGCTTCATGAGATTATGCTTGAGTGTATAAGCAATCAGGTAATATATGCAGTTTATCTAAAGCTGGTCAAACAACAGGGTATTAAAGAGGAGTACATGTTACAGTTCAATATAGTGATATGCCTCAGTAGTTGTTGGATGGGAAGTGAAAGAAGCAGTGCTGTTAAACCCCAAAGCACGCCTGTTATTGGACAATAATATGTAAGTGAAATGCATTATTATGATTAAAAATAGGTCATTTCTAAAGGAAATATACTAGATGCAGACGGGAATAACAAATCATGTGTAAAAAGAAATGACCTTTAACAGAACAAAGAACAGTAAATAGAAAAGACTGCGTGAGACTTCTCTTTGCTAATAGGAGGAACAGCCCTTGTTTGCCAGGGTGGTACTGGGGAAGCTGCATGTCTCCTGCCTCCTGCCTGTTAGTTTGACTGAATCCACTTGGCTGCAATCTGCAGTGCATGTGGACTGCCCACAGAATGTGCAGGTTAGGAAGGGCATATGAAAGGACTGAATAGCTAATTGTTGCCTCTGGTTGTTTATCACTGCTGAGTCTAAAAAGAGAATGGAAGGGATTTAAAACAATGTAAGAGAGTCCAAGGCACCATCATCAACCCTATTAACAGAGATAATAAAAATGATTCATAAATGGAGCTGCGCGCATCATCCTTCAGAGAGAGGTTTAAGCAGTTGTTTTGGGGATATTCAGCCTCAGGAAGTTAAAGAAAGATAATTTTACTTCACCAAAATAGCTGAGGTTATAAACTGGCAGTGCATGTTAGGACATAAACTGAAAGTTAATTATTTTATTTTTCACAGACATTCAAAATCTAAAGTCAGATTCTCGCTTAGTGATACAGGGAATAGTAGCTACCAGTATCACCAAGAATGAAGACCTAAAGACCTTCTCCATTCCACAGCAAATTGTAAAATTCCGTATAGAAATGTTTTTAAACAAACAGAAAGCCGTAAAGCTCCAGGAAGGATTTGGTAGGAAATGTGGAATGAGAATGTAGAATAAGAATCAGAGTAAATTTATGAAGATTTATTATTTGCTTTCAAATTAGTCTTTCATTTAACATTCAGTGAGTCAGTGTATGAATGCTGCCTGGAACACTGAATTTAAACAAGAATTTGGTCTTAATGTAGAAATTAGTACCGTAACCAGCCACAAAATGAATGTTGACTGATCACTCCACCACTGAATACATCTTCCTAAAGGGCTTATCTGCATATGTTTTATCTCAAAAGTTTCACAAAATACATCCTTCTCAAAATAGGGCCAGTCTGAAATCAGCACATCAAAAATTCAGTGACATGTAACTGCTCTGAATTCTAGGCTTGGAGCTGCAATTGCGGTGCCAGTAAAGAGTCCAGAAAGTTTTTGGCAAGACCTTTCCAGTTTTGGCTCATATGCAAAACCTGTGTAACATTCTTTGACTTGAAGTGTTTAGAGAAAATGTCACATTTTTCTACAGTGGAATTTTTTTTTATATTCTTTTTGTATGAAATTACATGTATCATAATGCATTTATTCACCTGCATATATTCTAATCTGAAGGGATCTAAAGGGCTCATCTTTCATATTTTTATAATAGTCCTCCCCTCGGAAAGTAGCCTATTGTAACTATGGCATTCATTCAATACATTCCATTTTTATTTTCAATTTCGAATCATTATTTTAAAAAAATCATTAAAGAGTATTGAACTCATGAAAGCCTGTGTTTATTGTCCTGGAAGCTGATGTCCTCTAGAAAGAATGCAACCTTTGAGTTAGTAATGGTAGACCAAGGATTCACCACAGCTGTGAACATCCTTTAGCCACATTGTGAACACTTCTGGTTTATATCTGCCCTAATCTGTCAGGTTGTGACCAAGAAAAAGGATGCCGATATTATTAATTGTTTCTGAACTGACAACGTTATTAGAGTTGAAGAGGCCTGTTTATATGAGCCACTGAGTAGTGCATGAAACAGGGCATGAATTATCTTCAACCTTGAAACTTCCACATCAGTTTTGATTATCTGCATAAATTCAGTCCACAGTTAAATGCTCTGGTAGTTTTATTTTTCTTTCTTCTTCTGTTATATAGCTTTTCTATATTCTTGTTTCTAGGACTGAAAGCAAAAGCAGTTGGAAGTTTCCTTGTGCAAGAAACTCTCGACTCCTTCTGTGGAAATGAATTACAAAGGGTTCTTTAAACTATAAAAACAGACTAGAGAGACATATGTATATTGACTATTCTGCTCAACATACAAGCTCTCATATCCATTCATAACAACTAATGCCACAGAAGATGTTGCAATTTCAAACCTACAGTTTCCTGTAGCACTGACGTAGCAAAGATGTTGACAGATGGATTTGTAACCCTGTAAGACATAAAAAAGTGAATAAAATATCAAACGGTTAGAGGAGGTAGAACGCAATTTAATTGCCTCTATTCTAATACACAAGAGAACATTCAATAAGATTAAAATTAAAGAAAGTTAAAATATTTTTTTCACCGTTTGAATACTGGGAAATCCATTGCCACTTGATGTTACAAAGATCAAGAATTCAGCAAAATTAAGAAAGGAATCAAATTTTATAAGTAGAGCAGTCCAGTGTCAGGCTAATTAGCTATAAGCATGTGATGTAATGAGTGTTAAACTTTACACTTTGAGATAAAAGCAGTCTTGATTCTGTAATTAATTTGGAAAAGACTTAGGGTATGAGTCAGATAACTTTTATGAGCCGGCTGCAGGATTTTTAAATCTCCCTCTGGGTGCTAAGTGTTTCCAAACAGTATATGATAGAAGGTGGACCTGACTTTGACCCAGGATGACAATTCACATGTAAATCTAAATGCAATTGATGAATTCTTCTGAAGAATGGCCCAGCTGTAGGAAATAGAATTATCTGATTTTCAGGAAGTTCCAGTCTTACAATCTCAAAGAAAAATAAATATTTGTCTGCAGATATATTCATTAATTTCTCAGTCTTTCCAAACCGGAATCCCATTTGTTCATGAAATAAAATTAAAACAAGCTTAAACATGCAATTGCTGACTTTTTTATTATTTCTCTCATTTTAACTCCATGTATCTTGTAAGTAGGTCGTTAAGATAATGGCAGTAATCTTACTCATCTGAATATGCATTGTCCTCTTTGATGTGCCTAGCAATCAATGTGCTGCTCTGTCTGAAATTAAATAGTAACACCAACACCCGCAGTAAGAAAAAGGAAGTGAGTGTATGAGAAATATTTCCTTAATAGCTATAACTATTTGTGAAGACTAAAATTACCCCACTAAGTTATAAAAAGGTCACAGCTCCCCTCATTTATTTAATGCCATGAATATAGTCCTTTATTCTGGAGTTTGCCTGCAGTCAAAGCTAATTATTACCACCATATTACATAATTTTTCCTATATGGTGTGTAGATGAGTAAATGTGTTGTAAACAACCATCAAGCTCCAGCATAGCATGAGTGAGGAAATGAGGAAATGAGCAGCTACCTTTCAAATCTCATTTCCAGGAGCTGCTGTAAATTAAGATCAGGAGAAATAATACTTTTGAATCTTTGAACTCAGATATTAGACTTTTATTGTTTTTACTAATTTCAAAAGTAAACCTGACTCATTATTCTTATTAGAGATGTATAATTACATGATTGAAGGTTAATGGCTTAACAGGCCTATTTCAGAGTCTCAGAACTTATCCAAGGTCTCCCTAATGACAGGATTCAGAATCTCTGTCCATGGGCCCACCAGACAGCACTACCTAGGGAGAGCAGAGACTTTTGATAACTGATGGACAAGTATTCATTTGTTTTGATTCCAGAAGCCATTGTTTTTATAATTGCAGGATAATGTTTTAGAAAGACTTTTCTGGTTATAACATAGAAACTTTATGCTCCAAAAATCTGAGCACCATGGCCCTATTTAGCAATTCACATTAATAGTTGCTTACCTTCAAGCACTTAAACAGTCATTTCTTATTGACTTCTGTAGCATTTCTCACATGCTTCAGGTTAAGCTCCAGTTTAAGTGCTTTTACAGATAAGAAAAAAATTGCTCAGTGTCTTGCATGACTGAAGAGTAAATTTTAGGCAAGGAAAGAGCCTGGTAATCTTCTTTTCTCTCTAGACTTCAAAATACCTTTTTTTAGGAAATCATTGTAGTTTCTTGTACAGTTTCAAAGTATGCAGTTTTATTTCCTTTTTTTTTTAATGGAAGTATTATAGCCCTATTTTTTTCATGTTATTTCATTAATATTTTATTAGAAATTACTTCATGTGCTCCTGAAACTTTTCTGTCACATGGTCCCTCTGCATGTCTCCATGGCTCAAGAAGATACTTGCAGTTGTTGCTTTAAGCTAGAATTCAAGTAAGGTAAGAGAGTTTCATTGCCATAAATTGCATCCGTCATCCTTGATAAATAGTACTGTGCAACTTCAAAAGTAATCTGATCATTATTTTACAAGTTAAAATTGGGTATTTTGCAAAATTTTACATTTGTGTCAGCCTTTTATTGGTTTTGTCCCAAGTGACAATACAATAATGCAAAATCTGGAGAGTTTTTATATAAATTGAAATAACTTTTTTTTCATGGCCTTGATTTAGGAACAGAGTTTGCAATTAAGAGAATTAA